AAGAAAGAAAGAAAGAAAGAAAGAAAGAAAGAAAGAAAGAAAGAAAGAAAGAAAGAAAGAAAGAAAGAAAAGTCAGTCAGTCTGTCTGAGGGAAGTAGGAAGATGTAGTGGGTGAAGCTGGGCTTGTTTTTGCCCTTGTTGGACTATCAAGTCCAAGGCAGGATCCTCCAGCAGCTGATGGACTCCAATTTCAGGGCCAAGAATCATTAACACTGATGCATACGCATATGCTGGCTGGGTTCACACAATACACTTAAGCTTTACCTCATTTTAACAAAACACCATGCTTTTGCTCAAAGAGTAAGGCAGATTATAGCAACCTGAAGGTCTGTTAACACAGTGGCTGGGTTCCCACCACTCACTCAACCACGAACCTCCCCCTCTGATTTTAGCTACTCTAGCATGTTTTGCAAACCCAGACGATGGACTTGCAGAAAGCTCTCTCTGCCACTTTTACTGAGTCCAGGGCTAGCGTCCCTTGGCCTCCTGATCTCTTCCTTGCTGCCGTATTTCTTTGCAAATAAAAGGAGATCAACAGCCCCGATAGGCACTGTTGACTAAACATGAGAAGCAGGACTTAAATCTGTCTCCTCTTGTGATGCCCCCAAAGGGAGCATCTCTCACAGCTGTGACCCTTTACCTGGCAGTATCCTGGGCATCAGGATCCCATGGGCTAGGTGGTGGGACTCCGAGTGCATGTCCCCTAGGTCTCCATGGATGTTGTTAATGGCAGCACAGTGTCTGTCGCAGAGAGATCCTCTCCGGTGAGGGTCACTCTTGTATTCCAATTCTTTGGGGAAATCTGAAAAGCAAGAGGGACTGTCAGTCCTAAAGGGTGACCAACGACTCTGTAAGGTGCCCCGTGATTTCTTTCTGAAAGGCAAGTTAAGAGACTAGCACCGCCAACCTTCGGAATTTCACACAGTTCCGCGATTTAGAGAATATGCCTTTGATTGCTTTCACCGTGATCAAAAATAACCCGTGATGCTTCTTGCATGTTGCACGCATTTCCAAGATTCCCAAGGTGCAGTGAGAAATACTGGCACATTTGTCACACAAGATTTAGGTTGAAGTTGATTAAGGAAACACCATCAATCTTTCTCCAATTCAGCTGAACCTGGGTGCTATTACTCGCCTATCTTACAGGGTTGCAGTATGGATCAGAACAACCAAGAAGCTTCAAGTATCCTGAAAACAGGAGTGAGTAGGTCTTTTCAGCTGGGGTGTATCATCATCATCATCATCATCATCATCATCATCTCGGCCCCCCAAAGCCACAGAGGGGGCTGTTCAATTTTCCTCCAGGGCAATCTGGAGTGAGTTATAATACAAGAGGCACATAGCCTTAAGAGACTTCAATGCATCATATTTTGCACCTTCTACTCATTGGGAATGAGTGCACCATCAGAAGACCTGAAGGACCAGATTGAGGACAGATCATCATGGAGAAAATCTATCTACGTGGTCGCTAAGAGTCGACAATGCCTTGATGGCACATGATCAATCCATCATTCTCAACCTCCTCCAAATCACAGCACAAAAACCGGCAGCCATCCTGAAAATGTCTATGTCACGTTGTACAAAACTACGAAATAGAACTGCAAAACCGAAGTGAGCTGCTGAGCCCTGTCCTAAGTGTTACACAAAGACCACAGTGAAGTCTGTGTTAAAAGCAATTGTTCTAGATCAGTGTTTCTCAACCTTGGCCACTTGAAGATGTCTGGACTTCAACTCCCAGAATTCCCCATGCTGGCTGGGGAATTCTGGGAGTTGAAGTCCACACATCTTCAAGTGGTCAAGGTTGAGAAACACTGATCTAGATGAATGAAGGCCTTTCAAGGAAGGATCCCCAAGTCTTCTTTAGCCTGAGACTCCAGCCACCCAAGACAGCTCTTCACAAACCCAATGAAGTCACCACCCGGGAAAAGAAAAGGAGAAAATCCATCATATGATAGTGATGACACACACCACTCCTCCTTTGAGGCTCACGTGATACATGCCAAGGTAAATCAATTGCACAACCACAGCTCTCCCAATTAAGATCAAAACGTTTTGAGGATGTGCACATAAATTGTGCAATTAAGCTGCATTTATTACATTCCCTGGAACAAGAGTGAAAGCAAAAAATAAAAAAAAATTAAAAAGGGAGGACCTGCCCAGGATTTTAATCCTCCCAAAGTTTACGGACACCGAGCATGGATGCCTTATGGATTACCCCCCTTCCCTGGAGGGCAAATCTTGATAGTAACTTGTCAAATATTTAAATTGTTTTTATTCCACCCTTTGATGGTGAAATCCACAAAGGAGGTGTCCACAATAGCAGAAAGTATAAAATAAGAGAGTATGGATAATTTTTAATTACACATATAGAGAGAAAGAGAATGTGCACATTGTTTAGGCTAGATTGCATTTAATAAATTGCATTTTATTATTTGTTCCTTTATTTTCTTCTGATATTTTAAAAAACATGTTTGTAAACTCTTAACATTTTACCTAACTTTGCCATCTCTGCAAAGAACTTTAGTTACTACACATTCCCAATAAATAAACAAATCAAGGAAACATCTTTCTCCCCCCACCCCCAAAATATAGTAAGCCACACAAATCTTCAGAAGCTTTCCTAAAGGTCAGTGAACTGGGGAGGCTTCTGGTTTTGAAAGGAACTCACTCCTGCGGTGTAGGAAGGGGTCTCCTGGTCATTCCTCACCTCGCCATCTTTGGGGATGAGGAAGGAAGAGTTTGTTTTGATCACATCTGAGCTGGACAGGCCAATAAAATGAAAAAGGCATTCTCCCCAGTAGGAGCAAGCCGTTTATGTCCAGAGGCTGCAGTATGACTTCCTGAGCAGTCTGTCTCATCTGACTATAAAAGTGAAAGAAATTAACAGGAAGCCAGCTTTCTGCGAAGACAGCATCATGTACTCCCACCCAGCACCGTTCAAAATTAAAAGTGACAGGAAGTCCAGAATTAGGTTTGAAAGTCGGTCCACCTGCCTAGAGAAAAGGCAGCAACACGCTGGACCGAGAGTAGGGGTGGGGGGAGGCAAGTCAATGGGTCTTTCAGGATGGGCCACTCCCCCACCCCCAGGCAGCTGTTTTGCACCAGTACTGACCAAAAGACTTTGAAAATTCCCAGCAGGTTCAAGAAAAGATTGCAGAGAAAAGGTTGGAGATTTACATTAAACATTTTAAAAAAGGAATTAAACCTAGCACTCAGTTGGGCTCCAACAGGCTGGCATAGGCTGGGGAAATATGGACAGCCCCACGTAGTCAGCCCCACGTAGAGCACATTGTAGCAGCCTAGCCAGGAAGTCCCTTCCAGTTTTGATGCCAATTGCAGCTCCACAAGAATAATATACACATCTTTGGCACAACTAGCTTTTCCTGCTCTTCCAGGTGCCCCCGTTGGCATGAAACCCAGGAATATTCCCAAACTCAGCTTGAGGACACCCAAGGCCAGCTGCATTTCCTTCCCCGCAGGGCACGCATGCAGTTTTTTTGCAGCCCCCAGAGCTCTGCTTGGATCACACCACCAAACTGTGGCAAAGCACTTTTTTAAAGAAAAGATATTATGCAGGCATGTCAAATAATTCTAAATAATTGTAACCCGCAGATACGTTTCCTACCCCATCTCACCAGGTTTGATCAGTGTTCCTAAAAAGCTCTCGTCCTATCTTGCCTGGAAAAACATACCCTCATCCACCCCAAAGCACTTTCCAATTAATTTATTTCTTAAGATATATATCCTGTATTTCCTCTAGAACAATGTTTCTCAATCTCAGCAACTTTAAGATGTTTGGACTTCAACTCCCAGAATTCCCCACCCAGCCATG